GGGGTGGGGAGGAGATGGGGGGAGGGGCAAGGGAAGAAGATGGGGGACACCTGTAATATTCTCAACAATAAAATAAAATAAAAACCTATTCTGAAAGAGTCAACAAAGACAGATCACTCTCATTTTTTATGCTGGTAATAAACACACCAGAGGAAAGAAACTTTATTATGAGGCACACAGAGTAAAATTTGTATCTCTCTGTTGCGATGACTGAACGTGTTTAACCAATAAAAAGAAAGAACTTCTCACCAGATTACATGATGAACAGAATGTTACTGATACAACAAGGAAGGCCTAAAGTGAAATATACTGGAATACTGGAATGTTCTGTAAAGGCTGTTTGCTATGAAAGACAGGGAAAAACAAAACAAAAACCCAACTACATTCCATTTTGGATTCTTAATGGTTTACTGTTTGCATGTATTCTTATAATTCCTACCTAGCAAGATCTGTTTATTATTCTATTTTTTTTTTTGGCAGGGGGACACTTGACAAAGGCAACTAACTTACATTATTAACTTTGAACTTTAGGTGGTGAAATCTAAAGAACATATTAGAAAGGTCAATCAATACCATGGAAAATCGAAAATGATGATTTGGGTCCTTCTGACTTTGCCACAGAAGACACCAGGGGAAGAAAAAAAGGCTCCAGGTATGAAGTAATCTCTTGTCATTTTCAAAGAGTCATAATAGAAAATCTGCCTCTCTGTTAATACATGAGAAATTATAAACTAGAACATGAAAAATCCTGGTTGCACGCCGTGCCATCAGCAGCAGGCACAGTGCCCAGCAGGGCAGTGCTGCGATATTCATAACAGACCTGTAACGGCAAAGGCATCACGGGGGCTGTCAGTCGTGTTTCCTGGCACGTGGCAGAATCAGCCGGCATCGCCGACGCCTCCATCAGACTGTGACTCTGCTTTGAAGTTAAAGCAAGTAACACACTTCAGACCTAGATTCAAGGCTTTATTGGAAAAAGTTATAAAGAAGATGGTTAACATACAGATTTAGCTATGAAAGTCTCTTTTGCTAATCTCTTCTATTACTGAACCAGTTTTTAACAGAAAGGCTTCTAAGTACTCCTTACTGGCCACAAATAATCAGACTAAAAACAAATAAACAAAAAGCAGTCAATAAAAAGGAAAAAATTAGATCTTTAAAAAATGACAGATACTTTATGTCTTATAAGTACATTGTAATTTCTTAGTTATGAATGAATTACCTATCGATGATTTTAGACCTATGGCCTACTGTTTCATAACCTGAGGGGTAATTTCATGATTGAGTATCCACTGAGTTGAGGTAGTTAATTCAGCTTCTCAAAATGCTCAGGTTTACTGCTAGAGAGTAGCTTAGATATGTGAGTTGGTTAATATAATTTCAAGTTACAAAATAGTACCTAAAGAAAAAAATACTATGAGCCCCCATGATGTGCATATATGGGGGGAAGGTTTCAGAATTGAGATACGCATTTTAATATTCATTCTAAATCAATCCCCACAATAGTGCAGCAAAATAAACACTAGCAAAGGCAATTTTGCAATTATTTTTATTTATTGAAAGTAAAAGACATTTTTCTGAAACATTACAGGCCTTCAGAAAGACTGAGATATCAGCATCGACCAAGATACTAAGTGAGCAAGAGATCACAAAATAGAAAGAACTTATACAAAATGAGTCATGGATGAGTTCATAGATAATGACTTTTATATTATCTATAATTCAATTCTTAATTTTATATTATAGCTACACATTTATTACATTATTTCTAAAGGTAGCTTGAAAAAAGCATAGTAACAATCTTAGTACCTCTTAAGTCAGACCATGGGATATTAGAACAAATAAAGCCTCCAAATATCCACCTTAAAAAAATACCAGATACATTCAACAGAAATCGTATGTGACACATGATTCAAATTCAGATTTAGAAGCAGCAAATAATTGGCCAGGAAAGCAATGCTGTTCAAAGACATTATATGTAATTCTTCATTTGAGAATTCTAGCGGCTTAGATATCTGGAAAATACTGTCTAAGACCCCTGACATTTCAGAAATATTCCCCTCTACTTCTTAAAGAAAAGTCTGGCATTCATCTGCATAAACCAATACTGAACTTCAGACATCTGACGTTTGCCGAGACACTGCATTTTGAAGAGCTTCCACGTTATGAGCTGTGCGACAGTGAGAGCAGGAAAACGGCACGCACATCCTTCCCTGCGCGAGCGACGTCCCAGCTCTTCAGTTGGGCAGGTCCACGTTCTGCAGGATGAGGGCCACTCGGCTTGGAATGTACACCTACGGGCAACACAGCAGGTCAGACTCATTTAAAGCAGTCGCCGTGAGACTCATTTAAAGCAGTCGCCACTGGAGGGCTCCATTCGCTTTACAAAAACCGATATTCCGGACACCAGGGCTGCAAAGGGACCTCACTGCTGTGTCCGCACCGAGGGGTGGGAAAGAAGGCCGTCCTACCTGTCACAGTGTTAGTGTTTTCAGGTGAATAAATGCAAGATGCAGAGCACGGCTTAACACAAGATAGTTGTCATCTTGTCTTTATTTTCTATCACATTTTAAGAACAAAAACTTAAAATATAAGGGATCCTAAGTGTATTTTAAGAGGATCAAAAGGCTTGCGACTGAACTTAAAATACAAAACCCATCCTCTCCAGGCTCGCAGGGTTCTGACGCAGCAGCTCCTTTTGCCTAAGTGCATCCCTCACCGAGGCTCTGCCCCACTTGTCTCTTCCCTTCCTCGCTCACCACCTCCAGCCACAGGGGCCTCTAGGGTCCTGAAGCACCTCACACCCCAGTCTCGGCCATGCTGTGTCCTGTGCTCACCACGCCCTGTAACCTACTGCTGCTTTATCGCCTGGAATTTCTTGAAATTCCCCAGCTCCACGGAGAGGTGTTTCTTGATAACACTAGATATGACGGTGTTTCCATTTCATTTTCTATCACAGCACCATTTTTGTTTCTTTCTGAGCACTTAACACAGCTTGTGATTTTTTTTTCAAGTTCATGATCAGTTTCTTCTCCCCCCCAGACCCTGAGCTTTAGGTGGGCAGAGGCCACATGTCTCCACTCTCCTCTGAGTGGGCGCCAGCGATGACTGGGTGGGAAAAGGAGTGCTGAGTAAGGGAATAAATAACAGTGAGATCAATAGTGCATTGTATGTCTCATGCACCTCAGCTCTGCAAATGAACACGATGTTTCCCCTTAAGGTTTTCCCAGATAAAGGACTCTTACAACTCTTTAAAAACATCAAATAAACCAATACAGTTGGTTAGTTTTGATGAAAGCAGTTTTAAAGTGATAGCATTCTGAGAAATGTATAATGTGAATTTAATAACTAGAGAAGAGTTTTTCTCATATTCAATTAAAAATAACATGATTTAGGGAATGAGCATCATCATCTGAGAAAAATGTCATAAATGCGGAGTCACTGGGTAGCTCAATGTCTCACAGTCAGGTTTGCAATCCAGGGCTTTCAAAAGATAAATATCATAGCCTTGCAGTCATTAATTGAGGAGAAACCATGTATCTTTATGCCACAATCTGTTTCCCTAACATTTACACATTGTTTTTAATGTCCTATAGCTTTTAAACCACATCACAACTTAATTACTAATGCAATGCCTTCCATTCAATATTTTCAGATTAAAGCAACACACAGAGCAAAGCAAAGTAGGAGAAATAAAAGAAACCAATAGTCAGATTCACCCAATTCCCTACCAAGTCTTACCAAAACAGGTCTGAATCAAAAGAGTGTCCTGTCCTTCCAAAAGAGGCTGCCACATGTGAACTCCCTAGGTTTAGTTTGGGGAATCAGAGCAACTAGGTGTAACTAATTAGTGGGACAGCAGGTTATAGTCAGAACGGTTCTCAACTGTTTTGTTGCGAGCATCCTAAAACGGAAGACCAATCGAAATTTCTCAATAGCACTGGAAGTGAACAAAAGAATTTCAGTTCCCTTTTACATTAGAAACATGTTGCTGATTATTATGTGGCCCAATATGCAGACAAAATATTGTGATAAGTGCAAGTTTCCTGAGGAAGATGCAGTGAAACGCACACATCAGGCCCAGGACAAATAATGACAGGCCCCAGCTCGGTGTGTGGCCGAGGGATGTATGGGGACAGGGCACCTCAGCCTCCTATTTGGACCCTATCTATCCAGTTTTGGTATCTGTTTTATTCATAACCTGATAGGGATTCAATAATATTAAATAATAATTATAAACTGATAATCTAGAAACAATCTTACTCTGTTACTTTTTGGTATTCTGGCTGGCTCAAATTTAAAAGTAAAACAAAGCGATGACCTAAGTTCCAGGTTTGCAATATATGCAAGTGAGTGTTTCTGATTTCGGCATTTAATGGTTTAAAAAAATGCTCCAAGAACTCTCACTAAATGACGCTGGTCATTTTATGGAAGGAGCTTTATGATGCCAATTCCAGTCACACTTAGAGACCTCTTACTACTATCTGCTCAAAAACCTTCTGCTGATAATTGTGTAATATCATTAAGGAGAACACTGTGTAATTATAGTGTTTTTTTCACTGTAGTGTTGATGACCAGCGTGTGTCTATGTTGCTCTAGAGCCCTTGCAGTATAAGCAACAGGAAAGAATTTCCCCAAGCAAGTGGTTTTTCGTAACTCTGGCTATATATGGAATCTTGAGTTTTCTTTATTAGGGTTCTGAGTATGCAATCAGTTTTCTTAGTGGATAGGAAATGACTGCCAATTATACTTCAGGACTTAAGATAATCAGAGCTGATCCTCATGATGAGACAACTACAGACATGGACAGTTTGGGGGCTCTATAATTCAGTGCTAAGCATTGGCTTTATAATTCTCATTTTATAATTTTAATTCTAAAAATAGTTTTGATTCATACAGCAATAGAAAAAATATGAACACACTTTAAGATTTAAACATAAATGTTTAAGTATATTTACATATAAACTATTTATATTTAAGTACATGTATATGAAAACCATTTAGTGTGTAAGCCAGAGATGATATATGCTGATAAACAAATATACTCTGCCCATTTACTAGCCAGTAAGTCCTAAACACCTTGTAGCTAGGATCACATTAAGAACATGAGATGATGTAATGTATGGCCATGAATTTCACCTTTTTCCAGCTATATTTATAGTCTACTCTTCATGAGAAACAAGAACGCCACAGTATCATACAATTCCTTTATTTAGAGAGTCAAAATGCAAGTTAGTCTAGTTATTTTGACTACCTTAATGACTTAATCACTATGCCAACCATTAGTACAGCTAAAAAAATAACTGATCACATAATAATCTACTATACTATGTCATACAGGAAAAGTAGTATATTCTTCTAGGATTATAATTAAGTTGCAAAAATGAATTGCACAATTTTTGAAAACAGGTGTGACAAGTTTGAAAACAGAATATTTAATGATAACTTCAAGTAAAAAATAATTTAAAGTCTAATTTTAAAATGTTCTTAGAAATTGTTAAATTTACCATAAGCACATAATTGAAGGGTGATCATTTAATGAAAAGGTCATTAGATCTACAACAGTCTACATATATACATTTGTTATAAAAAATATTACAAATTATTTTGGAAAATATGAGTGACAGATAAAATAATTTTAATTTTCATGAACATGCTTTAATTCATAAAATATGCTCTAAGAAAAAAAATCTTATTCTAATGCATTATTTTGTATGAGGATTAACTGAGAAGTGATGCACTAACTCTTTCTATACAGAAATATATTGTATCTTATCTAGGTTAGAAATAGTAAAAAGAGTAAACTTTAAGAAGTTTGATTTTTTTGTCTGAAAATTAAACATTTTCATAATTTTGGAGAGAGTAAAGGACATTTCCCAACTGCTAAGTTGTCTTTTCAATACTTACAGCTGAGGGACAATAAAAAAGATACCTCTATGCCAACCCCCATACTTAAGCCAAAAGTCTACTTTTGAACCCTCAAATTTAGAATGGGAATACAGTAGTCCCCCCCTTACCCATGGTTTTGCTTTCCACAATTTCAGTTACCAGCAGTCAACTGTGGTCCAAAAGGATTAAATTGAAAATTCCAGAACTAAACAATTCCTAAGTTTTAAAGTGAACACCATTCTGAGAGCCGTGATGAAATCTCCCGCCCTCTCAACCTGGCCCCCTGTGAATCGACCTTTGTCCAGCATCTCCAGCTGCACATACTACCTGCCCAAGGGTCACTTGGCTGTCCTGGTTAGCACCTGACTGTTGCAGTATCACAGTGCTTGTGTTCAAGTCCCTTATGCTTGATAATGACCCTTAGGTGCAAGAGGAGCGATGCGGGCAGTTGGGAGAGGCCCAAGAGAAGCAGTGACGGGCTCCCTTTAAGTGAAAAGGTGAGTACAGAGCAGTAAGATGCTTTGAGAGAGACAGCACTCACATAGCTTTTATTAATATAGTATGCTGTTACAACTGTTCTACTTTATTATAAATTGTTGTTACTCTCTTACTGTGCCAAATTTATAAATTAAACTTGTCACAGGTCGGTATGTGTAGGAAAAAACATAGTATATGTGGTAGTATCTGTGGTTTCAGGCATCCACTGGGGGTCTTGGACTTTATCGCTTGGGATTAAGGGAGGACTTCTATACACAGATCTACTTCTTACTGATAAGGAGCCTACCTGGGAAAATAATAAATGCTAAAACTATTGTTCTATTCGCTTTTCACCGTTGGGGTTGAGTTACTGTAAAGGAAATCTAATTCATTCCATTTCAGGTTCAATAATCTCTGTTCTTCCTTTTGTGTCATGAAATTTCAATCTATGAACCAGAGC